GGGGGGGGGGGGGGGGGGGGGGGGGGAAGGGAGAAAGACAAAAAGGGGCAAGGACATAACAAGTCAAACAGCCAGACGAAGGCAAACTAGCAGAAATCTCACCACTTCCCTTTGAACAGGCGGGATGACCAGACACGGTCCCAGGTTCTCCCCTCATGCGTGGCGGATAACGGCAGTCACTGTAGGCCTCGGTTCCAGATAAACCCGACCGAAACAGGGACCCACCGTTCTCGAACCTCGTCGGAGAGGAAGAGAACGCGATCCCTCCCCCTGGCTTTATTTATACATCTAGTTACGTAAAGGAATAGCATGGAATACTTCCGTGATCACTTTTCTAGTTCCTTCCTGGTTACAAGTTGGTCTCCAGGAAGACCTAGAGTGAAACCACCACATTCTCCACCCCTTATTCCATACTATTTCTTTAAACAACACCTATGTTTCACGTTCGCGCATATATATACACATATACATATATATATATATATATATAACTCTTGTTGGTCTCTCGGCACAGTCGTCTCGTCATTGGAAAATCAATGCCGATGTCAGTTCAGTCCAGATCTTTGGTCTCCTCAGTCACCATTACAGTTCCGATTTATGGCTGTTTCATCACTGGACTGTCTCATCACCGGATACCAGCATCAGCTTAGTTCAGGTCTCTCTCTCATCTGGTGACTGGTTTCCTGTAAGAACACAACTTAGGACATACAATTAGTTTTTTCCCAAGGCTAAATTTCCTTGAGGCACACACTGGATGACTCCATCCTTCCTCAATACCCACCACGTATGTCCTGGTCCTTGAGCAAAGACAATCCCACGAATGGGTTTGTCTTGGTCTGAGGCAGGGTTAACCCAAACAACTTTCCCTAGCATTCCCCTCAAATGGATTGCTGGAACTTTATCTCCATCAACAATGTGAAGGGATTTTGCCTGTGCAGGGCCAGTTCAATTGACAGAACCCCTGGTGTTAACTAGCCAGGTAGCCTTGGCTAAGTTTTTGTCCCAGTTTTTATAAGTTCCTTCACCTAATGACTTTAGAGTGGTCTTCAATAATCCGTTATATCTCTCAACCTTCCCAGCAGCTGGTGCATGATAAGGAATGTGGTACACCC